TAGGGACTGAGGAAAATCAGGAAAAACCTGGATTGAACTGGCTCAGAATCGTGTTATTTTTTTTAAACTTTCGTTTTTGCTTCGTTGAATCTTTGGATTCTATCGCCAGAGAGCATCCCACGACGTTTTGTTACATGTTCTGTAACGACAAACACGAATCACCAAAAATACCTAATTTCGTCCAATCGGACAATGATCTTGATCTGTTTGTTTGATCTTACACTGAACACAAGGTCGTCTCCTCGCTTAAATATACGTACTATCATGTCAATAACACGTATGGCTGAGTGGAACATGGGTGAGCTTTCAGGTTCTGTGGGCGGCGAGTATCAAAATGGCCGTCTTCTGTGACCCTGCGCCTTGTTGTCGGGTAGAAAATAATTGACGTTTCAAAAAAGCTTGCTACCTCCATATTTGGTCTCATTACCAAGACATATTTATATACAGCAAATATTAAAAAGGGGGAGAAAATATAATTAAATATATTTACAGATACAATTCATTGAATCACTCCAACATTTACATAGCCTTTACTACAGATACAGTTCCTTATTTAAATCAAAGATTAATAAAAATACAAAACTGTAAGTCGCAATGTCAGAATGATAAAGAAATTACAAGATATTTCTTGCTTTTCTGCTGTACTTCGCCGAGAGCTTTACCAACGAAGTACATTAGAGTTATCACGAATGGTATCAGTCAAAATGGAACTAATTTGTTACAAGTACTAAAACAATTACAACAGCCATCTTGAAAACAAACTCCTAAGTCAACCTGCCCGTGTGGCAACGTCACGAATCTGGGGTATTTTGATTAAAGTCTGTGAGGGTGGCATGCAGAAAGAAAATAAATTAGTGGCCCTTCGAATGCTCGTCTCAGGAGTAAAAGATGCCAAATCGTGAAGTTGGCAACTCGCCTCCATCCAATGCCATGGTTAAGAATGAGTGTAATCTACCTCCCCTTCCCCTTACGTCTTTATAGATATCTTACTTAAACACTGGGATATCTTCATCTTTGGTTGTAAATTCGGTTGGCGCCAGATGCGATTTTGCTTTACGTTTACATAAATCTTCTTATCCGAACACCGCGGCGAGTAACAGTTTGGCCAACCCCGATCCACGCCTTCATAACTCAGCAGCAAAATAATATTTAAAAAAAAAAACAACAACGTTAAATTCAAATTTAAAAGATTACTGAATCACATACGGAGGTAATTCAGATTCATCCGGACGACACACTCCCACGGCTTGCCTATTTATTGACGGTAACTTTGGATTTCACTTTGAATTGCCTGTAAATTTCAAGGGTTAGGAGGCCGGAGTTCGATTTCCAGTAGGGGTTGCGTTTTCTCTTCACCACCGAGTCCAGACCGGCTCCGGGGGCCTATCAATCTACTGACGTGTACAGCGGAGTTAAAAACGTCTGGGACGTGCACCTCCATCTAGTTCCAAGACAAAGAGCGCGTGGAGGTACACCTCCAGTTTACGCGGCGTTATACTTGTTGAAGCAACAAGTCTTTTGTGTGAGCCCAGATCAATAAAAGACGACAAAAACTTACCAACTTCACCGTCGACTGGTATTTTGGCACCAAATGATTCGCCAGGTAGAATTGTTCCATCTTGAAGCACAAGACTACACCTGGAATGCATCTTCTTCAAACACATGCTTCCTAACCCAGTGACTGAGACCAACCACTCGCACGACGGCCGATCGATCTCAGGTAGTAGGCGAACACGTGTGTCCTGCAGTGCTGCCACGCTTCCGACTTTCTCTCAAGCTGTACTGTACTCTTCACAACCACCATAAAAACATTGGTCACTCTTACGTTCCTCTAAGCTACGGAAACAACACATATTAAACAACAAAATAACTTTCTACAACCCGTATAAATTGTGCATCTGTAGATAATTTAAAAGTGGGTCACAGATAGTGCAAACATAACCAAAATTTATTATTGATTTTTCAGGCAACAATTATCAGACGCGGCAGATTGGATACTTAGGTACGTAGAATCGACTGTTCTGTCCCAACGGAAATAAACATTGTAAGATTTCAGGTTTTCACAGAGGTGAGTATGAAGATTTCTATCTTCGGAAATAATCATTGTTTCAAAAATACCAATAATTAATTCAAATGAACACATTATTTCACCTCCATTTTGAATTAAAATTCATTATAATATATTTTGCAAATACCTTCTAGTCTGTTATACCTTTTCCATTCAAGTGCTCTTTGGGATACGAAAGTTAGAACACGTGTTTTACTCTCTCTCTCTCTCTCAAACTCGTAAGGATGGTCGTTAAAAACCGTTATTTGCTGTTTCAGAGACGTAAACAACTGCAAAGAAAACTATTATTCACGCTGATACTGCAACAAACACAAATTTTAAAGTTGCCATGGAGAACCAACGAAGCACACGCAGACCCAGATAATGGGCAGCTCCAATTTACCACAAAATACACTTCTGTAGCGTCAGAAAGAACCACTTCATCTGATACGAGTTGCTAGCACAGCAGAAAGTTGGGTTTATAGTAGTCACCTACAAAAGTTTCTAGCCTCAGGATGACGTATGTACACTCTTTTGTGACAATAGTTACACGGGAAACATTTCTCACGCTCATTATTACCACGGAACAGAGAACTGCTTCAAAAGACGACAGTCGCCAAGAAATCTGCTGCCATTTGCGTTGTATGGGTGCGAAACTTGGTCTCTCACTTTGAGGGAGGAACACGGATTGAGGGTCTTTGAGAACAGTGTTGAGGAGGATATTTGGACCTAAAAGGGAGGAGGGAGGATAATGAGCTTCACTGTCTGTACTCCTCACCTGATACTTTTAGGGTGACGTGGGCGGGAGGCCTGAAGGGAGGAGACCGCTGGGAAGACCTAGACGTAGATGGAAGGATAACGTTAAGACGGATTTAGGGAGCTAGGAATCGATGGAGCGAACTGGATGCAGCTGGCTCAGGACAGGGTCCGGTGGCCAAGAATGATGAACAAATAAAATTATTTTCAAAAATCATTTAAAACCAAGTGGTAACCATATATACCACCTGCTGTGATAGTTACTCGGCATTTTGTATTTGTGGGTTTCGTAAGATTCTCACTGTAAAAATCTATTATTTCCTTAAACAGCGTTAACCAGTTGATCTTTGTAACGGTGAGGCGTTGTGTTTTCTTCGCGGTACGGACTGAATTCTTAAATATTATTTAGACGAGCTTCGGCTTCGAAGGGTTAATTAATTATCAGAATAAAAATCTATTATTTCCTTAAACAGCGTTAACCAGTTGATCTTTGTAACGGTGAGGCGTTGTGTTTTCTTCGCGGTACGGACTGAATTCTTAAATATTATTTAGACGAGCTTCGGCTTCGAAGGGTTAATTAATTATCAGAATAAACAGCGATTATTTCCTTAAACAGCGTTAACCAGTTGATCTTCGTAATGGTGAGGCGTTGTGTTTTCTTCGCGGTACGGACTGAATTCTTAAATATTATTTAGACGAGCTTCGGCTTCGAAGGGTTAATTAATTATCAGAATAAAAATCTATTATTTCCTTAAACAGCGTTAACCAGTTGATCTTTGTAACGGTGAGGCGTTGTGTTTTCTTCGCGGTACGGACTGAATTCTTAAATATTATTTAGACGAGCTTCGGCTTCGAAGGGTTAATTAATTATCAGAATAAAAATCTATTATTTCCTTAAACAGCGTTAACCAGTTGATCTTTGTAACGGTGAGGAGTTGTGTTTTCTTCGCGGTACGGACTGGATTCTTAAATGCTATTTAGACGAGCTTCGGCTTAGGTGGCCATCTCGACCAAGGTTTTCCGTGGTTTTCCTCAGTAAATTCTGAGTTGGTAACCAAATTCCACGTTGCTCTATGCCTCTCATGCACCCCTCCCGGTGCCAACATCAAAATTCCGCTCTAAAGTAGCCCCCTCCCCCAATATTAACATAAAAATTTCTCCAAACGCCGCCCTTCCATGGCCAATATCAAAATTCAAAATTAACGCAAAGGCCCTGGCCACCCCCCCCCCACTTCTTATCCAACCTTTTGGTCCTATCAAATGCCTTACCCTAGCAAAACCTATCTCCGCCGGAAAGACGAGCTGGCATTGCCTGGGAAGCTTCGTAGCCTCAACCAACTTTATTCCCACCCCCCACTTTCTCTCTCTCTTTCGACCTCGGTAAAGCAAAATATATAATTTCAAAGTTGGATCAGCAGCGCCAAGTCAGGGTCTGGTTTCAGTAAAGCGAAGTCTTCGGAAGAATTGCCAAGGTCGTCAGACCTTATCTTCGTATGCAGATGCAAGGAAGTCGCATTTCCGTTCGGAGGACTTCTTGGTATGTTCACATTAGCATATCAGAAGCCAGCAACCATGCAGCACAGTGACGTCAAAGGCTGACTGTCGCTTAGCGAGTCTTTTTTTAAACTCCAAGGTTCATTACGACGTTCGTAAAAGCTCGTCACTGGACGACCATATTCTCGGCCAAATGAGTCCAATGGTCTCTGCTCTTGAAAAAACTCCAACCAAAAAATTTTTGTATACATTATTGGTGAAAACATTTTGAAATTCTTTTCATCCAATTACTCCCCCCCCCCCCCCCCCCCCAGAATGTGATCTGCTGGGTTGTGAAGCCGCGTGATCCTGTAGGCAGCGACCGACACTTCGCGTGCACGAACCACGTGAATCTCGAATCCAGTTGGCCGTGGGTGAAGCAGGACGTAGTATATTAAGGACAACTGTACTTAATCGGAAAACAGACTGAGCAAGGCTTTGGGTCTAATCTCACTCGATTAATGTTCTGTGCATGAAACGAGAAGGAGCCCATTTCAACATACTGCAATAGCAAGGAACTTTGTCTCATCCTGCAGCTGACAGTCGCTCAGCTGGTCAAAAACTTCTCCGCCCACTTTGGAACCCAATGGTTCACAACAGCCCGTCGCCACTGGACCCTAAACTGAGCGAGATTAATCCAGCCAAACTTCCTCGTTGCATCACATTTTAATATTATCCTCATATCTACGAGTGCACAAGAAAAGCGAGGTATTGTGTACATTTATTTCGTCACACGTGCTACATGCTTTGCCCATCTCCAGTATCCTGCCAGTTTTTCATATTCTCGTCAGCAATTCCTTCTCAGTCCACCCCTGACAACGAAACACGAAGTTTGAACCAAACAGTTCTTAAAATTCGTTTAAAACTTCTTTTTAAAAATATTTTGAAAGAAAGACTGATAACTCCATAATCATAAAAGGTCATCATTTTCGTTCCGTTACGAAATGAAATGCTGTTTGTCTCATGAACTGCGTAGATCAGCACAATGACCAGGCCACGGACTTAACAAAACAG